GGTATGTGACCAACATGGGCATGTTTAGGTCGACCCAATTGCTCTTATTAAAGACGGCAGGGTCCCATGGTGACCCCTATAAAGTTGCTGACGACCCTGACACAGGGTCGACATGGTAAAAATATTTGTTTTTCTTTCTGTATCATAAAACATTATGCACTGATGTCATGAAAAATTATAAAATTCTACTCACTATAGTTTGGCCACAGTATGGCGAAAAACTGCTAAAGCTGTAATGGAAGTCGCTTGAAGACCTAATTACCAACCATGTTTCAGGATGTGTTGACATGTATTCCAGTGCTGCTGCGCCCCAACTTATATGAGTATCTATTATTAATTAACGTTTTTTATTATCCTTTTATCCTAAATTTTGCCCCCATGCAACGCTGGGTACCTCGAGTGTATAAATAAAGCAATAATCTGTAAATGTTATCTTGATTTTTTCTTAATTATTATAATATAAATATGATCAAGACAGTAAAGTAACACACAAATTTACGTTAGAGTGCATTGTATGTTGAGTTTGTGGGAGAATTTGGATCCAAAGTGGGAGAGAGTTCAAGGAAAATTAAATTAGGAAGTTGGTAGAGGAGTTAATGGTCGGCTGGGAGATGTGAACGACAGTGAAGGAGCGCGGGAAGTGAAGCGGCTTTGATGATGGTAATGAGAGAGAAAGAGAGTGGGAAGAGAGAAGATAGGGTGAGAGGAGGAAGAGAGAGACGGGCAGAGAGATAGGGGCTCAGTAGTTCAGTTAGGGGCGTTCTCGACTCATAATCGGGAATCCCGGGTTCGAATCTGAGAGATAACAGAAATGATTCGGTATAATTCTTATCACCTAATGTCTCTGTCCACCTAGCACCCTGAGAACAATCAGTAGTTAGACCTTGGGAGGTCCTCAATATAAGCTGCAATGGGCAATGCAACTGATCGCTCTACTAACACCTGTTGAACAGACAGCTGCTTGCTCTACAAGCAAATGTTGGCCAGACAGCTGCTTGCTCTCCAGCCACATGTTGGGCAGACAGCTGCTTGCTCTACAAGCACATATGCTCACGTTGTTGTGTTTGCGGGGGTTGAGCTCTGGTTCTTTGGTCTCGCCTCTCAACTGTCAATCAACTGGTGTACAGATTCCTGAGCCTACTGGGCTCTATCATACCTACATTTGAACCTGTGTATGGAGTCAGCCTCCACCCTCCACCATATCACTTCCTAATGCGTTACATTTGTTAACTACTCTGACACTGAAAAAGTTTTTTCTAATGTTTCTGTGGCTCATTTGGGTATAAAGTTTCCCCCTGTGTCCCCTTGTTCGTGTTCCACCCATGCTAAATAATTTGCCTTTGTCCAACCTGTCAATTTCTCTGAGAATTTTATTAGTGGTGATCATGTCTTCCCTAATTTGTCTATTTTTCAGGGACGTGAGCTTTAGCTCCCGTAGCCTCGTAACCAGACTAGTCTGGTGCCATACCTCTGAATCTTCTCTAACTTTGTCCTGTGTTTAATTAACTAGGTATGGACTCCAGGCTGGAGCTGCATACTCCAAGACTGGTCTGACATAAGTGATATACAAGGTTCTGAACGATTCCTTACACAAGTTTCTAAAGGCAGTTCTTATGTGGCCAACCTAGCATATACTGGTGATGATATCCTTTTGATGTGGGCCTCTGGGGACAGGTTCAGTGTGATATCAACCTCCAGATCATTTTCTCTATTTGACTCTAGCAGCATTTCACCTCCCAGAGCACGCTGGACTTGTGATCCTGTGGTCCTGGGTTCGATCCCAGGCGCCGGCGAGAAACAATGGGCAGAGTTTCTTTCACCCTATGCCTCTGTTACCTAGCAGTAAAATAGGTACCTGGGTGTTAGTCAGCTGTCATGGGCTGCTTCCTGGGGGTGGAGGCCTGGTCGAGGACCGGGCAGCGGGGACACTAAAGCCCCGAAATCATCTCAAGATAACCTCAAGATAACCCACATGATACCTTGTTTTCAGCCTCCTGCTCCCTTCGCTTAATTTCATTACTTTACACTTTTCTGAATTAAACTTCAGTAGCCACTTTCTAGACCATTTCTTCAGCTTGTCCAGGTCGTCCTGTAGTCTCTGTCTATTATCATCTGCCTTAATTCTTCTAATAATTTTTGCATTATCAGCAAACATTGAGATGAATGAGTCTATACCCTCTGCAAGAGCGTTTATATAAATCAGAAACAGGATGGGTCCAACTACAGAGCCCTGTGGGACTCCGCTGGTGATATCTCGCCACTCTGATGTCTCCCCCCTCATAGTTACTCCCTGTTTCTTGTTGCTTAGATACTCCCTTCTCCACTGGAGCGTCTTACATTTTACTAATGCCTGTTCTCCAACTTTTTTAACAGCCTCTTATGGGGTACTGCATCAGTGGTTTTCTTACAGTGAGAAAATGCAGTCTGTCCACCCTTCTCTTTCTTGCTTAATTTTTGTCACCTGATCATAGGATTCTACTAAACATATGACGCATGATTTACCATCTCTGAACCCATGCAGGTAGTGTGTTACAAAGCTATTTCCCTCCTGATGCTCAACGAGTCATTCCCTAACAATTTTTTCCATCGCCTTGCATGGTATACAAGTTAAGGAAACTGGCCTAGTTCAGTGCCTCTTGCCTGTCACCCTTTTTTAAATATTGGGACTACATTAGCTGTCTTCCAGCTTTCCGGTAGGTCTCCTGTTTCCAGTGACCTGTTATACACCATAGTGAGTGGCACACTGTGCTTCTGCACCCTCCTTTGGTATCCACGTGAGATTCTGTCAGGCAGATTCCTTATAAGCACATTTCAGACAGTGTAGCTGCTTGCTATGCAAACACATGTTGGACAAAGTATGTGCTTGCTCCACACGCATATGTTGGAGGGGCAGCTGCTTGCTTTACTAGCACATGTAGGACAATTACGCTGCTTGCTCTACAAGCACATGTTGAACAGTGCAGCTGGTTGCTCCACAAGCACATGTTGAACAGTGCAGCTGGTTGCTCCACAAACACATGTTGAACAGTGCAGCTGGTTGCTCCACAAGCACATGTTGAACAGTGCAGCTGGTTGCTCCACAAGCACATGTTGAACAGTGCAGCTGGTTGCTCCACAAGCACATGTTGAACAGTGCAGCTGGTTGCTCCACAAGCACATGTTGAACAGTGCAGCTGGTTGCTCCACAAGCACATGTTGAACAGTGCAGCTGGTTGTTCCACAAGCACATGTTGAACAGTGCAGCTGGTTGCTCCACAAGCACATGTTGAACAGTGCAGCTGGTTGCTCCACAAGCACATGTTGAACAGTGCAGCTGGTTGCTCCACAAGCATATGTTGAACAGTGCAGCTGGTTGCTCCACAAGCACATGTTGAACAGTGCAGCTGGTTGCTCCACAAGCACATGTTGAACAGTGCAGCTGGTTGCTCCACAAGCACATGTTGAACAGTGCAGCTGGTTGCTCCACAAGCACATGTTGAACAGTGCAGCTGGTTGCTCCACAAGCACATGTTGAACAGTGCAGCTGGTTGCTCCACAAGCATATGTTGGACAGACACCTGCTTGCTCTGCAAATACATATAAGACGGTGCAGCTGCTTTCTCTACAAGCACACGCAGAAGAGTACATTTCTCCTGTGGTAGTGCTTAAGGGAAGGCAAATAAAAGCTGCCCAATTTATTGCATTCATTATCCTCAAGTTGTTTCACTATAATAAGCGCTCTTTCCATAGGATGTGTTCTTAGTTTATTACAACAACCTGCGCTCTGTCGCAGCTACACCAACCCCGTCACCTGTAATAATATATAAACATGTTCCAGTGAAAGGTATAAGGATAAGGCCTAAGGTGAGCTATGGGAAAGGGAAGCTCTAAGCTCACTCGCAGTAACCAAACGTTGTCCACCCCAGTAACTGCCTGTGAAAGAATCTACCTTGATTTTTCTTATTGTTATTTAAAAAAACAGAAATATGACATATTTTTCTAACGAAGTAATATAAAAATGAAGATTATGGGGGAGTAGAGGGCAATGTTTCATGGGACGTGCTAACCCAAGCCTCCCACCTAACCTAAACATCCTACGTGCTCCTCACTCTATGTTTCAGGTCAATATATCTCTGGTCTCCTGCACAGATAGGTCATTATACCTCTGCTCTCCTGCACAAATAGGACAATATTCCTCTGGTCTCCACAGATAGGTCAATATACCTCTACTCTTCTGCACAGATAGGTCAATATACCTCTGCTCTTCTGCACAGATAGGTCAATATACCTCTACTCTTCTGCACAGATAGGTCAATATACCTCTGCTCTTCTGCACAGATAGGTCAATATACCTCTGCTCTTCTGCACAGATAGGTCAATATACCTCTGCTCTTCTGCACAGATAGGTCAATATACCTCTGCTCTTCTGCACAGATAGGTCAATATACCTCTACTCTTCTGCACAGATAGGTCAATATACCTCTGCTCTTCTGCACAGATAGGTCAATATACCTCTGCTCTCCTACACAGATAGGTCAATATACCTCTGCTCTTCTGCACAGATAGGTCAATATACCTGTGGTCTCCTCCACAGATAGATCAATATACCTGTGGTCTCCTCCACAGATAGGTCAATATTCCTCTGGTCTCCACAGATAGGTCAATATACCTGTGGTCTCCTCCACAGATAGGTCAATATAGCTCTGCTCTCCTCCACAGATAGGTTAATATACCTGTGGTGTCCTCCACAGATAGGTCAATATACCTTTGATCTCCTGCACAGATAGGTCAATATACCTCTGGTCTCCACAGATAGGTCAATATACCTGTGGTCTCCTCCACAGATAGGTCAATATACCTGTGATCTCCACAGATAGGTCACTATACCTGTGGTCTCCACAGTTAGGTCAGTATATCTGTGGTCTCCACAGATAGGTCAATATACCTGTGGTCTCCACAGTTAGGTCAGTATATCTGTGGTCTCCACAGATAGGTCACTATACCTCTGGTGTCCTCCACAGACAGGCCAGCAGCCGCCTACCCTGTGGCGGTGTTCGTCCATGGAGAGTCCTACGAGTGGGGCGCCTCCAGCCTCTATGATGGGTCTGTCCTGGCCGCCCTCGGCCGAGTCATCGTCGTCACTATCAACTACCGCCTCGGTATACTCGGTGAGTCATCACTATCAACTACTGCTTCAGTATACTCTGTGAGTCATCACTATCAACTACTGCCTCGGTATACTCGGTGAGTCATAACTATCAACTACCCCCTCGGTATACTCGGTGAGTCATCACTATCAACTACCCCCTCGGTATACTCGGTGAGTCATCACTATCAACTACTGCCTCGGTATACTCTGAGTCAAAATGATGCATTGCGAATCATAACAGGAGCTCCCAGATGGACTAAAATACTGAACCTAAGACTAGAAACCAAGCTAACGTCGATTGAAATAAGGGTAAAAGGGATTGCTGCGTGCATGCTGACCAAGATATTGACTAGACCTAGAATCAGTTCACTTAACGATATAATCACTGGAGCACTAACTCTGGACAGAAGAGCCTCCAATGGCAACAGGTGGACCCATTGTGCGATAAACACCATCAATACATTCGATATAACAAACACAGTCACTGAGAGGGGTGTCGACGAAATACATGCAGACTTTGTTATACAAGCCCCTTGGGAATCTCTGCCAGCAGACTTTAAGATTATGGCTCTTGAAGGAAAGAAGAACCAGACAAATCCTCATCTGCTACGTAACATTGCACAGATGCATATAGAAGCAAACATGGCATCCGACAGCTTCACTTACTTCACAGATGGACCAGTAGACCAGCAGGGACAAGAAACCGGAGCTGCAGTTAAAGCAGGAAACTCTGTAAATAGTTGGAGGCTCTCAAATGGGTGTTCGACTTTACAAACAGAGATGCTAGCCATTTAAAAGGCTTTGGAACATGCTCTTGCTGAACACCGACAACATGTTATCATACATACAGATTCGAGAACAGCCATTGAAACCTTGCAACAAGAACACATATGTGATAACATCCATCTGATCACAAATGTCTTATCATTCATGCAAACACTCAAACGACAAGGCCGACGGGTACTTATCAACTGGGTGCCAAGTCATGTGGGAATAATAGGAAATGACATTGCAGACGAAGCTGCAAAACTTGCTACTAAGAGGAGAAATGTAGACATTTACATACCACAGAGTCTATCACAGATTAAGAAAGTAATTAGAAACAGAGCAATGCAAAAGATGTACAGTGACCACACCACAGCAGTTGCAACATCAGGATCTGCGGGTTGGTACAAGAATTCAACCAACTACGAACCACTTAGTTTGATGAAAGGGAGCAGTAGAACAACAGAAGTGCACTTACATCGCATCAGGCTTGGATACCCATGTGCATGGGAAATAGGCTTACAGGTTCCGGAAGCTGAGAGGAAATGTCAACATTGTGGAGAAATGCCCGACAGACCACTGGAACATTATCTAACACAGTGCACAGTTACAAACCCATTAAGATTTCAACTTAGATTCAACAGAGCAGAAGAAGTTGTTAAACACATATGGCAAAATCTTACTGAAGCGACCATACGAGTCATAAATACTCATACTCCGCCCATGTAAAACAGAAACAAGCAACACTTAGTGAGCCAGCCAGAGGCTTAGGGCCCGCGCAGGAATATCCCTGCAAAAAAAAAAAAAAAAAAAAAAAAAAAAAAAAAAAAAAAAAAACTATCAACTACTGCTTCGGTATACTCGGTGAGTCATCACTTTCAACTACCCCCTCGGTATACTCTGTGAGTCATCACTATCAACTACCGCCTCGGTATACTCTGTGAGTCATCACTATCAACTACTGCCTCGGTATACCCGGTGAGTCATCACTATCAACTACCCCCTCGGTATACTCGGTGAGTCATCACTATCAACTACCGTCTCGGTATACTCGGTGAGTCATCACTATCAACTACCCCCTCGGTATACTCGGTGAGTCATCACTATCAACTACCGTCTCGGTATACCCGGTGAGTCATCACTATCAACTACCCCCTCGGTATACTCGGTGAGTCATCACTATCAACTACCCTCTCGGTATACTCGGTGACTCATCACTATCAACTACCCCCTCGGTATACTCGGTGAGTCATCACTATCAACTACCCCCTCGGTATACTCGGTGAGTCATCACTATCAACTACCGCCTCGGTATACTCTGAGTCATCACTATCAACTACCGTCTCGGTATACTCGGTGAGTCATCACTATCAACTACCGTCTCGGTATACTCGGTGAGTCATCACTATCAACTACCCCCTCGGTATACTCGGTGAGTCATCACTATCAACTACCGTCTCGGTATACTCGGTGAGTCATCACTATCAACTACCGTCTCGGTATACTCGGTGAGTCATCACTATCAACTACCCTCTCGGTATACTCGGTGACTCATCACTATCAACTACCCCCTCGGTATACTCGGTGACTCATCACTATCAACTACCCCCTCGGTATACTCGGTGAGTCATCACTATCAACTACCCCCTCGGTATACTCGGTGAGTCATCACTATCAACTACCCCCTCGGTATACTCGGTGAGTCATCACTATCAACTACCGTCTCGGTATACTCGGTGAGTCATCACTATCAACAACTACGAGCTCTGCATATAAGGTAAATTTTAACAACACTAAGGAATACTATGGTGAGATGATGAGAAAGTCATCGTTGCTCTCACTATCCTTCACAACGGGTAACTGGGTATCTGTTTGACATTCTTGTGAGTAAATAGTGGTAATTTGTTCTCACAGCCATTTTAACATAAGATTAAAACCCAGACTTGTGTATTTGTGAAATTTATGAAAAGATATTGCACCAAGTCCTTCACACTCTCCTGAGTGCTTTATCAAGGTTTGAGTATTTAATAGCTTCTATTCATCGATTGGTGTTAACCTTGCAAAAAACAATCAGCCCAGCAAACATTTTCACGTTTTTAAAACGTTCTAAAAACGACATTTCATTGTTTTCAGCACGTTTATAATTACGTTTTGGCCAAAACCCAGCAAACATGTTTTTTTCTAAAAACGAGAATTTTTTACGTTTTATACGACCTTAGAACGTAAATAAATAACATTTAAAAAAACCTTTTTATAATCTTTTAATTACCTACATTAAAACATTTAGGGTAAATCAGGGTATAATAATTTTTTAAATTATATCTGAAATAGAAAGGGAGAGAAAGAAAGAAGACATATCTGAGAAAGAAATGGACATCCTATATATGTACGTGTAAATTACAAATAAATAGGGTACAAAAAGAGAATTAAAATATTATATTTATTTAAGATTGAGTAATACAACAAAATATATGTAATAGCTCGAAATATATAGACTATATCTATAATAGAATATAAAAGTAAAAATCTATATAAGCAATATGTGAACACAATAGATTTCGTGATCAAGCAGCCTGTGATTCATGTCATGCTGAGTGAGATCAGCCTGACGTTACAAGCAGTTATTGTTACTTAAAACTAAAACAAGTAAAATTCTGTATAACAATAATATTCTGTAAAATTAAAAGTAATTTACACATCAGATAAAACTCTCCAGAGATGGTGATACACAACATATAAAAGACAAGTTTCAGAACAAAATATGCATTTAGGAATAAGGTTTCGTACATGTAGGGCACATGAGAAAAAAAGTGGAAGGTGATCAAGTTTATATTAACATGTTAACGGCTTTATTGAGGCTTTGCAAGAATGAAAAAATATTACTAATATAATCTCACCGACCAATGAATTGTACGTTGTTTAAAAGTCAATTATTTACATTATTATTATTATTTAATACTAATGATATAAAAATGCATTTTGCAATCTACTATTTATGCAAGTATTAACCACAGGATCATGAAATAAACTGCAAAATACTGTAAAGGATAAACCAATTAAGTTTACATTTTCCCATAGCTAAGTCAGTCAGTTCTACAGTACTAGCAGCAGAGAACAATTATGACCAACCTCTATTAAATGAAACAATCTTAAGAGCAAGTGATAGAAATATAATCATTTATACTTAATGTACACTTAATTTGAACTTAAAATTTTAATTTTTTAGTGAATTTTAAATAAAAAAAAATTATTTAATTTTTTTGTTACTTACTTAAAATAACATTATATAGTTCTTGTTTTTCTAGAAATGCTAATTTCTTCTTTTGTCCTTTTAGGCTGTATAATGACCAAAGGCCGTTTGTTCCTATCTTCTTCATCATTCTTCGAACCGTAGTTGCACAATCAGACCCACGTACACTGGTTAAAAGCAACACCTAAAAGCAACAACAAAAATGTAGTACACTAGTAATTTTGATATATGTATGTATGTATGTATGTATGTATGTATGTATGTATGTATGTATGTATGTATGTATGTGTGTATGTATGTATGTGTATGTATGTATGTATATGTATACATATATATATATATATATATATATATATATATATATATATATATATATATATATATATATATATATATATATATATATATATATATATATATATATTATTAAATATGACCGAAAAAGTAAGATTAATAATTCTAACACGAATTTTCTCAATCTTTCGTACATTACGCTTCACTGTTGGAGGTAAATCAAAAATCACTTCTCCAAAATTCATTTTTATTTCTAGTCTGACGCGACACGGGCGCGTTTCGTAAAACTTATTACATTTTCAAAGACTTCACAAATACACAACTGATTAGAACGTATCTCTGATTTTATATCTACATTTGAGTGAGGTGGGAAGGGTGATGTGGCATTAACACAAGACAGAACAGGAGGAGATATTAATAGGGTATTAAAAGTATCAACACAAGACAGAACAGAAACAATGGGTATTGAATAGAAGTGTTTGTAGAAAGCCTATTGGTCCATATTTCTTGATGCTTCTATATTGGAGCGGAGTCTTGAGGTGGGTAGAATATAGTTGTGCAATAATTGGCTGTTGATTGCTAGTGTTGACTTCTTGATGTGTAGTGCCTCGCAAACGTCAAGCCGCCTGCTATTGCTGTATCTATCGATGATTTCTGTGTTGTTTACTAGGATTTCTCTGGCGATGGTTTGGTTATGGGAAGAGATTATA